TGTGTTCTGCAGTAGAAGTGAACAAAAGATTTGTGCAACAAATGAAAAACAAAAGTTTGTAGTAAATAAGCTGAAGTAAATTTTTGATATAATGAATGTGCAACTTATATTATTGATATAATACTGTAATGGATAGAATGATCTTCAATAATATGCATTGCAACGAATAGCTTAACTGATGTCAATAGATTCAAAATTGGATCAGTAAGAAAGGTCAAAGTTCATATAATTTACAGAGTGCGAAAAGAATCATTTGTGTGTTGCTATGGCACTAGTCTTTTCTTAATTCAAGGCAAAAAATTCATTGTCAAAGCAAAATGCCTGATAATAGGAATGTAAGGAATCACATAATGTCAAAGGTCATCACGATGTATTTTTTTTCAAGCGAAGTATGCTCAATTATCTGAACCTTTCTCATGAGAAGAAAGTTGTAGCACAAATATTAATTACGTTATAAAGTTCAGTCTTGACAGTAACTGCATCTACACTTAGCATCCACATATTTTGGCTTGAAAAAGCATTTTAATATGCTTTAACAGTTTTATCCCATAATTTTATGACTTTATTTACAGTGCTACCATTTAAAATTGGTTAATTCATGTACTTGGTTAAAAGATTTTTCTAGCAGATTGTCCTGAATTATTTTATTCAATTTGCACAATATTTTGAGATTATCAGCAATAATTACACGTCACAAAAAGATAACTATTAGTCAGAAATTGTTATATTAATTAATTTCAAAAAAGATTGTTGCTATATTAATTAATTGCCAATAAATTTGAATATTCTCCTTGTAAAGTATAAAATTTAAGTAGTTAATTTGAAAATTAGTAAAAAAAACTAAAATATTTTAAATCTAAGCTTTGATATTATTGAAATAAACAACGGAAATTGGTTTTGAGTAAATTTGGGCAGCTTATACTTCTACACGTTCTACTGAGAGTTAATATTTAGACCTCTGCAAAAAGTAATCGTAATTTTAGCCCCAATAGAATTCGTCTACGCTTTCTTGCACACTTTTTTTTTCAACTTTTCAATCTAGTCCCTTGCAAGTGCTATCTTATTCTCGATTTATTTTTGCTGCTACTTTTTCAAGTTATTTTAGCAATTTTTTATTTTTCGCTACTATTCAAAATAACTTTAATAGTTTTCACTACTTCCTAAAATTATTTTTACATTTTTTCGATATATTTTGTAGTATTCCGTAAATTTTCAAAAATTTATTTGATATTATTATTCAGCCATTTGTTTATTATTCATTCTTTCATATTTACTAATGAAAAAACAATCACAATGCATTACATTTGATTAAATAAATGCAAAAATTAAAATATGCTTTTAACTTTTTGAAGATTGAAACTCAATTAGATTTTGATTCATAAACTTCTTTGCAGAGTAGCTTTCTGAAAGCATTAACTTTATTTATTGTCTATCCTTCTTAAAAGTAAGCACAAAAGTTTGCTTACTCACTTCAACTACCACTTTTGCTTTACAAAATGTTAATTTTCATTTATTTATTCACTTTTTATCATTTACTGCTAAACTTAACCTCAAGTAATTTTCAATATATAAACATTAGACTTATTTATTCTTCGCTTCTTATTACTAAATGATACAAATTACAATGTTTTCTATTTCATTCTATGTTTGCATTTACTGCTTAAGAAAAAAGATATTAGTGGGCTTTTGCTGAATGATAGGATATTATTTACTCATAAAATATATGTAAATTATCCATCCCTTAATTAATTAATTAATTAATTAACTAATGCCAATTACGAGGATCAATTTTTGCAACGATTTTTTGTCTGATCTTAATTATTCACTACTACTAACATAATCAGCTTGTAATAAAGTTTGCTTGGGCCTGAGATTTAAAAACAAGTAAATGCGTAAAAGTTGAGTATAATCACAGAAATAATGACTGACTAAGTGAAATGAAATATCACGTATGAATATTTGTTATAGCAAGTAATAACAAAGATGGAAGCAAGTTTTACTTGTACAATTTTATGAGAAAAAAATTTAATGACCATTTTTGAATATTAAGCGGTTGATGTATATTGTATTTTCTTTTAATGATACGTAAATTAAATATAGAAAAATAGAAAAACTAAAATATATTACTAAGAACAACATGGAAAGCAGCAAAAATGACACGAGTGAGTAAGAATAAATAATTGCTAAAATTATAAATAATTTACAAAGTAGCACCATCAATAAATTATTTTTCCAACTTACTGTCTTTCATGTTATTCCTTTTTCTTTAATTTTGTGCTATTATGATGGATACTTAGAATTACGATGTTTTCTTATGCTTCTTACATTTCATTTCTAACATATCACAAATACTTTACTTTCAGAAAAAGACATGAAATTGCAATACTTTTTAATTTTAAAATCAATTTGTTTTTTTATTTATTAACAAAAAAGTCGTGGCATACTTAGAAAATGACAATAATAGATGGAATTATTATTCTACAACTCTTTTAACTTTACACTTCTCTCATAGGTAAAAAGTAACTGATTGCTTGAATTACTTTTCATTTTTAGGAAACAAATTTAAAGTAAGATAACAAAGATGGTAGGACTGAACTTGTCATTCAAAATGTGCAATAAATACTTCCAACAAATAAGCAGCTCAAACAGTACTTGATTAGTTATAATTGACACTGCTATTATGGGAAATTCGAATTTTCGTCAGTATTTTTCATTTTTTCTTGCATTTACGATAGAAATCTTAACTTAAACTATAATAAAAGATTTTTTTGATCTACCAAAGCTCTATTAAGCTCCATTTTATTACTTTATAAAGTAAATTACAGTAATTTATGCCTTAATAAGAAAGCAATAAAACTGTTAGTGTAATACAGGCATATATATCACTAAGATAGACTAATCTTTTCTTAAATTCAAATTTAGCATACTTTCATTTATTTTCTTTCACTTCACAAGCACTAGTCAAATGATGCTAATTTTTTTGTCATTTTTTATAACTTTATTTTCAACTTCTTTTTCATGTCTGTTACAAAGTAATTAAGCTAATAATAATCAGTCTTTCTTATCATACTAACAAGAATCATAAATGTATAAGAATCTTGCTAGTATGATGAGAATCACAAATGTATATCTGAAGGAAAGATTGTCGAATAATGAAATTCCTTAGAACCTTTGTCAAAGTTCATTTGATGATAGTAAGCTAACTTAAGTCAGATATCGATCACGCGGAGATGTGTGGCTCTTCGCTAAAAGAGAGTCCAATTCTAAGCAAGTCTTCAGGGCACTCTCATCAGTGTTAGCTTCTAGCAGACTCATTACTCTCCCTCATATTGTTGGCCACTTGCCTATCTCATCTAGCATATAAACAAGCAGATAAACTTGATGACGGATCGATCAACTATCTTATTTTTACTAATGCTTACTTCTATCATATGTCAAAGTACACGAATAACAAGCAAATTTTCTTTCCATCGTAATTATCCTTAATTTATGTATGTATGATATGCATTTGCTGTGTTTTACAAAAATTTATAATTAGCAATTACTTACAGTTTTGTAATTTCTTCTTTTAGCACATTTATTAAATCATAGAAAATAATAAAGTTATTAAAGTGAAACTTGCGAATATAATTAATTAAGAATAAATTTATTCTTATGAGTAATAAAAAAAGTACTAATTGCACAGAAATTTATGATATTGTTTCAATTTAAACTGTTTTATCTATTTTATCAAAATTCAAATTATCTTTATTGCTTTTATTATTTCACTTTGACTACTGTTTTTCTCACGAGAACACTTATCTAGTGATCTAGTGGTCCAGTGATCTAGTGATCTACATCTTAAAGTGTTATATCAAATTTTAGTTTCAAAAACACAATGAGTTAGTAAAAGAAATAACTTTAAAATTTGGTGTAAGAAAGGAGAAATTTTAAAGTAATTGCGTCACGCTAAACTTAATTACGCTACTTAGATAGTGCCAAAGTAACCAACACGTCAAAATTTTTTCCATATTTATCCTTCAGTTATTTTAAATCTTTCATGAAGATCGATATAAGAAGAAGAAAAGAGGAATGTGTCTGTGTGTTTGTCAGTCTGTCTTTTTCTGACAATGTCATAAATCACATTTCAACTGAAACGAATCAAAATTCAAATGAATTTTTTTTGCTGCTAAAGTAGTCAGTACTTAACTATCACATCTATGCAGAATTTATATTTTATTCAATTCTGCTTCAATGCAAAAATTAGAATTACAAAATTGGAAAATTACAATCATCTTAAAAATGCCATTATTGTGCAGAGTTATTTTCCATAAAGGATTGATTCAGAGTTGATAATCTTCTAATCATTTATCAAAGTAATCAATACTGCAATGATCAAACAGTGACAAATTCGAAAAGATGTGATTTTGGAAAATTTTACTACTGCAACGAGACTACGTGATATGAGTATATGCATAAATTACTGATGTATAAATTACTGTACTTATCACACTTAACATTGCATCAGTTTTTGTTTTGCACATTATGAAGTTTAAATTTGAAAAGTTTATTTCGATTTCTCCACAAATAGATGAATTCCTCCATCAATCAAGTATTATTTTTTCTGCAATAATTCAAAATTATTATTTTGAATAATAATTTTCAATTATTATTTTGAATTGTCTCAAAATCTACTTGAGGTACTCAAGCATCGGTTCATTATTTTGAAAGTGGTTGAAATTTTTATGAAAGTGTAAACATGACTTTTTTTTGCTGCACTAAATTTTTGGTAAATTTTTAATAATTTTTTCTCACTTAAGCTTGCAGTTGAATGATTGATTCTATGCAAATTTCGTTCTTTATTCTTTTTTCTACTCAAAATTTTCCTTTGCTTGTATGTGATTTTAATTAGTAAACAAGCAAACATGTTGTTCACACTTCTGCTATTTACAGTGAAATAACAAAATGTTAGTATTAAGAATTTAGAATTCTAAACATGATCGCTTTAGTGAGCAACTATAATGTTGTTAGCGAATGGATCATTTTGGGTGGTAAAAGAGTGTATAATGATCATATTATATAATTTGTGTATTACTGATCAAAAATTATTTTCACTTGATTTTCGCATATTAATAAGTCCTTTGAAAAAAGAACTAATTGGCAAATTATGCATGAATAACCAATGTTAGTCCTCAGTCTTCTTTCGTGTCTTATAGCATGAATTATAATAGAAGATTAGAGTTCACTCTTAAAATATGCTAATAAGACTTTACTCTTTTTTTCAAATACTAATTTCCATCAACTTACCCTTATTATTTGAAGATGAAGATGCTGTATTCGTTAATTAACGGTGTTGAAAAAAGTTATAACTCACGTTAGAACTAGCTCTGTCTATCATTATCAACCACAAGTCAATTTAATCATTGAAGGTTACTTTAATTACTTAAGGTTATTTTAGTTCCAGCTTACTAAGAGAACGTTTTTATGCATTTTAAATTTTTTAGTTTATACGAAGTAAGCATTTGAGTTTACTCTTACTTCAGGATTTACTACTTTTCAAACTAACTGCTAATATGAGCTTAAAATCCTTTTCATTTCTATATTTATCCCTTTCCGTCTTTCATTATTTGAGAAACTGCAATTAACTTAGCTTTCATTAACAAATTAACAAAACCAGAAAAGCTTCTTTTTTACTCATTGAGAAATGGATAATTCTGTTGCGACTGCTTGAAAGCTTCATAATTATCAAAAGTGCTGTCATAACTGGATGATTTTCAGTTATCTGTCGCATTGTTGCATGTAGCTCAGTTTCTTCTGGCCTTCTGTGCCTTTGGTGCAGGAAAAGCCAAGCTACAATTTACTTCAGAAGAGGTTTATTACATTTCTATGTTTATTACTATCATTTCAACTTTAATAAGATAAAATAAAATCCAAGTACAGAAATATCATTATTTTGTTATTTGATATTATTAACGAATAATTTTTCCACAGTTATTATTGATTGCACAAATTAAAAAAAAAAATTGTTGATGAAGATTCAATTTATTGCTGCTGTAATAAATTTTCGCTCCTAATACTTTTCGTTTTGCAAACATAATCTTAAATAAATATCAGTCAAATAAATTAAAGAATCATTATTTGCTTCATGAAAGTGACTTACTGGTAATCAGCAAACAATACGTAATAATTAATTTGAAGGAAAGTCATCGGAGAAATGTCTAGTGAAGAATATTTATTTATTAAGCATAGCATTTGTAAGAAATTAAATTATACAACGCTATTTATAGGATCCTAATTCGCGTTTCCAGTGCAAAGGGTCATTGGGTGATTACGTCGCTTGTCAGTGTCGTGAGGATGATAGCGAATTGTCCTGTATAAATGCTCAATTTGTTGATACAGATATCTTTCTTCATGTAAATAATCGTTACAGGTGTTTAGTTTTCCCTAATACTCTAATACTTGATGAAATTGAAATGCTCTTTTTTGGTCAACTTATTCAAAAATTTTCGCTTACATATAATATAAACAACCATTATTTGGAGATAAATTTTTTATTTTTAACATTTAATAAATGAAAATGTTTTATTCTCTGATTAAAAACCAGTCTTACTATTATTTTGATTAATTTTCAGGCATTTTCGGAAAGTGACATTTCATGGCAATAATTTTCAAGATTTACCGAACAGTCCATTATTTGGACAAAATGAGCATGAAAATCTTGAGGTTAGTATAGTTTTTAAAAGCAAACCATTTTGATTGATATTTTTTGGAAAATTATAATTTGCGTTTCTCAACTGCAAAATGATTGTCTTTGGTATTAAAGTGAAAAATTGTTAAAGAAAGTTTGATATTTTGTACGAAAATTTGACACTTTACCTCAATATAAATTTTGATTGATACAGAAACATTTTTGAAAAGCTCATAGATTGCTGATCTGAATTTATCAAATTATGGAAATGAAAAAGATGCTGCAGAAAACAAACCACTTTTTTGAACGTTTTTATTAAGGAAATTAATAGACCGCTACAGTACGACTTCTGAATCTTATCTCAGTCAATATGTATTTTTACAAATGTGAATCAAATTTTATTACAGGTGTTAAATATCTCAGCAAATTACATCGTGAATTTACATTCAAATGCTCTCAAAAGATTACCAAATTTGCTAGTGCTTGATCTGAGTAATAATGAAGTGGTACTGAAAGAAGAAGATATAAATTTTTTATCACATACTCCGAAATTGAAGCAGGCAAGAAGAAATTTTATAATCACTCATAGAAAACGAATTTAATTTGAAGTTTAACAATGAAGAAAATAGAAAAGTTTATTTTGCAAAAAGCAAAGATTGTAAATTTTGAATTATGTCATATGTGCTTTGCTCTTTTTATGAAGCATTAAATTTGAAAAATTTTTCAAAACTTAGTTGTGATTCAATCAAGTTCTTAGTATTATTGAAAATTTTAGCAGAGAAGAAGTCATAGTCATATTGAATTTTTTCTGTTAATAACCTAAAAAATTGAAGGTTAAAGTAGAAAAGAGGAAATGATAGTGAAATTAGAAAACTTCAAATATGATATTAATAAAATAAAATTTCATGCCAAACAAAGTAAATAGTCATCTGTGCATCCGATAATTAGTAAATTTAAGCCACTGAAATCCAAAAAATTCAGTCTACCAAGCAGTTCTTATTAATTAGAAATGAATAATTGTGTAAACTACTGCAATTTCTTCTGCGATGAGTATTGACTTATTTATGACCATAACTTTTTTATTGCTTACAGTTGTATCTGAGGCGAGCATTCACGCTACTTGTCAACCGTACTATACAATTTTCACTAATGATGCAAATGTTCAAAAATGCGAATTTAAAGGAGCTAAACGTAATCTCGGAAAGAACTATACGCTTTTCATATCACCTGTTGACCATTTAATTTATCAAATATTTTTGCAGTATGAGCACATTCAGTCGATAAACTTGAAAATTTCTTCTATAATACTTATAAAAATAGTCCAAGTTTTCTTTCTGGTATAAATACATAGGCTAGCGTACTTTTATGGTACACAATTTCTTGAATTTCTAAATGCATTCTAAGATAAATTCAATACTTTTGTACTGCGATAATTTTTGTAGTTGAAGGCAATTGGATAAAAAATGCATTTCTATAGTACAATCTACAAAATTTACTTTTGCCAAAAAAAATCAAAAGGATCAAAGGCATTGCAGTATGTTGATCTGAGCTACAATTACTTCACTACTTTACCATTTGATTTGCCATGTGTATTTCCGTCTCTGAAGTATCTCGATTTACGTCAGAATTTCCTTCAAACGCTCAATCTTAATACAACATGTGTTACGAATATTGAGACTATTGATCTCAGCAGGTTAGAATTTTTCTCAAATTTTGATCTATTTATCTTTCATTATTCCTGACTTGTACTTGCTAAATTTGTATTAGTTTTTAGTCCTTATCATTATATTATATTACTGTCTATGGATACTTTACTGTAGACGGACTAAGTTTTCAATTTGATTATCTGCCTCTTTTATCATTTCAATTTGGTACAACAAAACTATCCCAGAAAATGTTTTGCATATTTTTGGAAAAGAAATCAGTCAATAAATTGTATAGACTTCTTTATTTCACACCGTTTCAATTGCTTATTCCCAACACATAAATCTTTTCTAACATCAAGTATTTCTTAGAAATCACATCCATCAACTAAATGAAGCATTCCGACATGGAATCGGTGCACGCGTACCACCAAATTCGTTGCTGTTAAGGAATTCATTTCATTGTAACTGTGAAAGTATTGCATACATAAAGTGGATTCGAGGGACTAATAAAGTATGTATGCTTATTTATGTTGTAATTTTTATTTATCGCTGTTTATTGCACCAAAATACTTTAACCCTTCCTTTCTATCTATCCCCAACTATCAAATAAAAATTCAAATTTTAAAATTCAAAACTTTAATTTTAATTTGATATTTGAAATAATATCAGACTTTCTACACTCGAAAATTTGGAACCACATTCATTACTTTTATGTGCGTTAAAATTAATTTTCTGTACAGTAAACGAGTAATAGATATTTTGGCTATTTTTAACCTTAAAAAAATTAAGAATATTATTACAAACTAATCCGTTTTTTGAGGTCCGTGATAAAGAGCAGCTTTTATGTCATCGAGCTAGTCCATCAGACTATGTTGGAGCTGAACTTATCAGTGTACCACTGGAAAAACTTGATTGTGCTATATCTCTTACAATTACACAAAACGTTGCTAACTCAGTTTACTTCGTACAATTAAATATTTTAGCAGTAATAATTTTGCAGCTGTGAGGGTGTTATTTTCTTTATAACATTGCAAGAAGTCACAATTTCCTCAATGCTATCACTACTGTTATAATTATAATGATTTTTTTGTAAGTGCATAATAATAATGCTTTCAAAAGGGTCATCGTTTCATACAATTTTAACAGCTTCATCTTTTCTTATCAGTATTGTCTCATAACAGTGATATCTCTTTTATCTTTCCAATTATTTTCATTATTATTGGTTGTGAATTAATTGTATAGTGAAAATATTTTTGCTATTACAATATTCTTACAAAGGTTTAACTTTATTAAGCCTGCAGTACCGAAACATGATAATACAAACTTATCGATAATTACAGAAAACAAAATTTAAAAAAAATGTATCCGAGAAACGGTGTTAAAATACATACACATACATATATGTCGGGTATATCTG